ACTCCCAACGAATGCAATACAATGGAAAACAACAACAGTTGGGTGATGCAGGTTCTGACATGGGGATTTCTCCTATCCCCTTCCACAATAGCTGCATGTCTGATTAATCCCCTCTCTTCTCTGAACAGAATACTCATAACAGACATCAACTAGGACCAAGTATATAAATTTGGTCCCAAAAACTGATCCAATGGTTCTGCCAATCCTACTGGATCCTCTATGAGATTCATTTCCTTTTTAAAATTCCTTACTTCTGCAGCCACTTAAAGGGGTATTTACATATCCAATTTGCCCCTGTCCCATAGGTACTTCTCTTAAGGGACACATTTTATTTTTCTCAATGTTCTTACTTCCAGACCCCAGGGGGAAATTAATTAAATCCGTCTGGCATTGCAACAAGAGTTAAGACAATCTTGGATACAAAGAGGCCATTGCTGTTTCAGGTCTATCCACACTCTGCCCCTATTCCATAGGTATTTCTCTTAAGGGCCTTATAAGGGGAAGAGGTCCAGCCTCATAGTAATTTTCCTAAAGGGCCTTCTGGATCAATCTTAAATTCAGGGTTTTTTTGGATCCTCTTAACACATTTTCCTTACTCCAGCCTCCTTCCACAGTGCTTTACCACAAACTACAGTTTGCTAGGCACACAGGTTGGTTACTGTGGACTGCTTTACCACAAACTACTAGGCACTCCCCCACAGTGCTTTAACACAGTTTGCTAGGCACTTCCCGGACCTGAAATCGAACCCTCTGTAGACCTTCTTCGTGTTGCCCTCCTGTCTGAGCACCTCCAACAGACATTGGATTCACCATTAGTGAGTTTAAGGGGCCCACTTTTACGGTTGCCATTCACTGTTGGTCTCCCAGCACGCACTGGCTACTTTTAAAGACCAACCATTCCACTTCTACAGAGACTTACACACACATTGCTTTGCTTTCACGCTCTCTTTGCACTTTACCAGGATTTTCACCATCCCTAGGTGCATCTCACCATTCAGGTCCCTTCCCAGAGGACTACCCACCCCGCCAACCGCCCAGGAGGTACTTTCTTTTGCCGTTCGCAATTTCTCACCTGGGTTTGTGCACAAAGTTGCCCGGTTGATTTCTCTGAGGCTCTCTTTTCCGGGGGTCCCTTTACTTTACTTCTTCACCGACCTCTATTTAGCATC